ATACACGTTAAAAAAACATGTTGTTAAAAAGAAAAACAAGGGCACATGGCAACACGGGAGAGGACAAGCTGCATCACCATCGAAAACTCTATCGATGGCCCGGCGGTTTTCTCACCACCAATCACCAACAAATCTCTGGCACCATCTGAAGGCTCTTTTGCTTCTTTTTACTTACTCTTCCATTTTAGATCTCGTAAGTATCATCGATCAGAATTTTAATACTTCAAATAGCATTACCGCCATTCATCTAATTTCACTCAAAGACTTCACCCTTTGCCTAGACAAGGCTCTAAATAGGGATTTGGGGAGAACTCCTAAAAATTCCAACACTTACCACCGGAACTCATCACCACCGTCTTATCTAATAGAAATCCAATTGTGGAGGAAAAAGGCCACACATCCGAACAAATCAAAAAACTTTTGCACTACTTTAAAGGAACCATGATTATCAAACATAATCAAATTCTTCACTCTAATAAGGATTAGTGAAGAATTTAATTAGAAGGAATCAAAACAAAAAGATCACAAAAGAATTTCGATTGATGGAGAACAAAAGATCTGAACAAATCAAAATTTATTGTCCGTTAGCTCTCTCTCTGTGAAAGATCTTTCTCTGAAAGATAAAGATGAGAGAAGAGAGAGAGGAAAAAAAGTCAGCAATCAGTAACGTAAGCGTTCATTTAATTAATATCTGCTTATTAATTTTGTAAAGATACAATAACAACTGATTTTTGTGATTTTTGTTAATTAATCGAACACTTTTTTTTTAATATGTCTCTCCAAGGCACGATCGTCTATTAGGTCTCAACTACCTGGTTTCATTCCTCTTTTCAAATTCCAACCACCCAATTTTTCCAAAAATAGAAATCTTTTGGTTCCACCCCCGAATTTGTGTGGCTTGTTCCGCCTCAACGCCAGTAATCTCCTCCTCTCTTCAACACTCCTCCTTGACCCGAAGTAGTGTTCTCATTGGTTTTTGCGTCCCCAAAACTATCAAAGAAAACTCTGAAACATCTGGTGTTATCACTTTTCCAATCTATTGGAAAATCGCTGCAGCTCTACGAAGGGTTTTCAGACCTCTCTTACCATCTTGTGTAAAAACAGTAGCTCACCTCGACTAAACACTTGTGACAACCAATAACTCAACTCTGCTCAACGTAACTCTACCATTATGGTTTTATCTCTGCACAACAATATAACATTTTCATGGCTCGTCGCTTTACGCTTGTGGAAAAGGAAAAGGGTCAGTCTCCTCCACATGAGATGATAATCAGAGCCCCAAACGTGGTTACATCTGACCTGATTCATGATAATGCTCTTACGCTGGTCGTCTAGCAAACCCAACGTAGCAAAGACTATGGTCAATGATTTTGGTTTCAATTAAGCGCTCATTTCATCTCTTTGCTCTTCTGAGACGTTTACTTCTCCTGCAATGATAACTTAAGACGTATAGAGTATTTGGCTTCTTACCCTTTAAAATAGTTACATATCCTTGTTTACTCTTAAGACTCCATCTCTTGATTGGAACCAGCAATCTTGATTTTCAAGAGTTCCAAACGAAATCAAATTTCTTAGACATAATGAAAACATTAGTGAGAAGAAATGTTGTACCATCATCGTTTTTGATCCTTATGTTGCCAACACCTTTAACTTCTGATAGGTGTTATTAGCCATTCTCGCTTTTACACTGTTTAATTCATCTAACTTGATGAACCAATCTGAAGTCAAATGGAAGGAGCATTCAATGTCCATAACCCAAGCATCTGAGAGGTTTTCAGAAAAAAAGAAAATAGAGCTTCTAAAACCAATAGAGCAGCAACATCATTTGATGACTCTCTGCTTTGAGATGATGATTCTTTTATATTTCTCTTTCCAGACTTGACACTGTTTCATAAAGTGTCCCTCTTTACCACAGATCCAACGTTCTTTCTTCCCTTTCTCCCTTTGACTTGGATCTGCTTCTAAGTTTTTTTACTTTCTTCGGATTTGGACTTCATCTCAGTTCTTCCTCTTGTCTCCCTCACAAACAAAGCTTCTGCAACATTTTTGTTCTTCTTTCCATTCTGTCGAAACTGTAGTTGCTTCGAGTGTATAATGCCTATGAGATCATCAAGCGAAAGCATGTCTTTGCTGTACTTTAATGTGTCTTTGAGATGATCAAAGGGGTATGGTGAGGACATGAGCAAGATGGCTTGGTATTCATATGGTATGGTGACGTTCACATGCTTCAGATCTGCTATAAGCTTAAGCAAATCATCGGTTCCTTCCTGTATTGAAGCAGACTCAGAGATATTGTAGCTGTAGAGTTTCTACCTCAAGTAGATTCTGTTCGGAAGAGGTTTTGACGTGTAAAGTTGATCCAAAAGGTTCAACATACTAGCTGGGTTCTTCTCCTTTATGATCTTTAATTTATTAGGACATGATCTCGAACACTGAGAATGATGGTAGATCTGGCCTTCTCTCTCTTCTCTTCTAACTTGAAGGTCCTTCAAAGCTTCCTCCTTTGTTTTCTCCAGACTTGGAGATGAAGTTTCTTCTTGTTGTTCCACCAAACTTCCTGCTCTCCTTGGTTTCTCCACCACTTCATCTTCTGCCTCTATACCCTTGATGTGGGTAGTTTTTCATCCAACTAATACCTAGCTGCAAGTGCACATCAAATGCAATTATTATAGAACAGGATCCAATTCACAGATACTTTTGATAACACCAGATTTTGACCATTGTATAGATCACTTTAATATCTTTTGCACGTGTTTTTACTCTATTTTCAAAGGTTTTTAATAGATTTCTATATTTTTGGATTTTAAAAGACTTTTCATTTAATATGGAAGAAAAGGTAAAACTTGGAACAAAAGACTATTTTAGATAAATTCAGACGGTCAGAACTCTCATAGAGAGATGAAGACTTTCTTACCATCTGATCACCCTCAAAATTGGACACTTAACAGAAGACTCAACCAGATTTTAAATGCACTTGGTTTGGAGACATTCCAACAGTTGGCTCTCAAGATATTCCATTTGCTCCGGAGACATTTGAAGACGGCCAGCAAGCTAAGCCACCACAGCCAACAGCCCATCCACCGCAGCCAGAGCCACGCGACCGCGGCCAAGTCCTAATTCCCCACGGTGACACTTCACGCGACCGCAGCCAGCAATCTCCGACTTAAAAAGCCCATTTATGAAGCCCAAGTAATTTCCCAGCCTCAATTCCGGAACCCTAGAGACCTTGGAGTATTGAAGACTATAAATACTTGTCATTTAGGTCGTCTTTAGACATCACCTTTCATATTTTTATAGAAACCTTTTTTCCAGCCGTCTTATGCAACTTTTAGAGAGAATTCTTCAACTCTGAGTTCATCAATAGAGATGCTTTCTTTCATCTCTTTTATTTACTATTTTGATTGCTTTCATTAAAACCAATGATGATGTCGACCTTAGCCATGGCTGAGTAGCTCCCGAGTTGGGCATAGGGTTCCCGAAAGGGGCTCTCATAATCGATTAAGACAACTAGGTTTTTAGATCTGGGATTTTAACTATGTTCTATGTTTATTCTTATCTTTAATGAATGTATGCTGATTGATCACGTCGTATCTGATCTAGATAGTTAGTGTTGCGAAAGTATCCGATCTAGAATGAAACAGGCGATTTTTCCGTAGGAGTGGAAACCTACCTACGACAAAGTCGTGAGTACTGACGAGTCCTGTGTAGCTCCTGCGTTTTCTCCCTTCCAGGGCCAAAGTGAAAACCTACTGGTCAAGGTTGCGAGAGACAGTTGGTTATGATCACGACGTTGACGTAGTCATACTGCCGTACTCTAGCTCTAGAACCCTAGTATTTTGATATCCGTCAATCCCAATCTAAAACCCCTAGTGTGTGAAACCGATTATGATTCCTGTAGGGTTCCCGAATGATCAGCGTTTTTAGCCATAGTTTACAAACCAATCGATATTTATTTGCTTTCGTAGATCTGCATTTTTACTTACTTTAGTTCGATTTTCTACTTGTTTCATTTTGCATCCATTCGATTTTCTACTTGTTTTTTTACGATAGATTCATTTGCTTTCTTTAGTTTTAGTTTAGTTCGTGACAAACACCAACCCCTTAAAACCGATTTAGTCTAAACAAAAACTTAGAAACCGTAGAAAAATACTAGGCACATAAATCCCTGTGGATCCGATCCTTAATTACTACAACTGATTAGCTGCGTACTTGCGGCTTTCATTAAAGGTAAAACTTGCTCCCTCACTCGTAGCACATCAAGTTTTTGCCGCCGTTGCCGGGGATTTGTTTCGCTGTCCTTTTTATTTTTCTTATTCTAATTTCTGTTCTAGACATCTGATCTCTAGTTCCTTCTTAAGTTCCTGACTTATCTTTCTCTTCTTTTTGTTTTTCTCTGAATTGCATAAATACCAGGCGCAGACCTGTAGAAAACATTCCAATTCAGGACAAGATAGACAGACACGAAAGAGAACATCGAAGACTTAGACAAACGCAATGAATGGCCGCCGACGACCAGCCTGGAGATTTGTTAACCACAACCTAACCTGGACCAAGATGGGTCCAAGCATGGTGAAAATGAAGAAAATGATCACAGAGAAGGTGATCATCCTCGACAATATGGAGAAGAGAATGAGATCCCTCCAAGAAATCCTCAAACCGAGAGAGAGAAGAACGCGAAGACCTCGATGCACCTATCAATGTAGCCGATGGTAACAACCAGGAGATGCAGCCGAATGGACGCAATAACCACCCTATTCAGCAAGCAAATCAACACCAAAGACAAGTCATGAACCATCGCATAGCTGATTTCGATGCACCCACTCAGAATTTCCAAAATTGATCTGCAATTCAAGTACCATTCCCGAACCAAAATAAGGTTGAAGTCAAGCCTCAAATCATATCACCGTTGGTTGATATCTTTGCCGGTAGGATCGAACACTTATTGGGAAGAATGTAAAATCGCTTTTCTGAACCACTTCTATACTAAGTCAAGGTCAAACTTACTGAGAACCAAGATCTTAAGTTTCCAGTAAGGATCGGCCGAACCTTTATATGAAGCCTGGGATCGTTTTAAAGAGTATGAACGTGACTGCCCTCACCATGGATTTCCCGGATCAAGCCTGCTGAGCACATTTTATAGAGGTTTGCAACCAAAATACAAACTTTCACTTGATACAGCCAGCAATGGAGATTTCGGACAAAAGACAATAGCACAAGGAACATCGAAAATTTGGCTCAAGTTAATAGCAATGACTGCCCGGAATGGACAATAAAAAGATAACCGAGTTGAAGAACATGATGAGCCAGCTTTTAAAAAGCCACAATCGCCCAATCCACGCCTGTGAGACCAACAATGGCACAAAAGATGAAGGACCTTGTGATACCGATCACACTAATCCGACCTTTCAGGAAGAAGAAGTGAACTATGTAGGAGCACAAGCACCATATCCGAATTGTTTCAACATTGGTTTCAACAACAACTTCCGAAATGCGAATTACAACAATCTCTCTTACCAAAATCCAAATGTGGAGAACCCTCAAGACCAGCATTACCCACCACAGCAGAGACCCTTCTAAAACAAGTTCCAAGGTGGAAATTTTGGAGGGACTAGAGTTTTTCAACCGCGACAACCATATAACTTTCAAGGTACGAAATTCAATAATCAATTTGGACAACAGCAGGGAGTTACAACAAACCAGCTAGCTTCGCATATCGGAAGACTTGAACACTCTATCCAACAGCTTGTTATGACAAACGAGAAAGCAGCTAAAGACATGAACGTTAAAGTTGATTGCATGTACAATGATCTGATCGGGAAGTTTGAAGCTTTATCTTCTCAAGTCAAAAAGCTAGACATTCAAGTTGCCCAAACAGCCGATTCTATGAAGAGACAAAATGGAGCTCTTCTCAGGAGAGTTGAAGACAACCCCAAGAGATTTTGCAATGCCATCACTACAATGCCCGAAGAAGAAGCTGCAACCGATGGAGAGGACAATGAAACCTCATATTTTATACCTCTCTACAAGAATGTCGATGCAAAACAACCACCATTCAACGTATCCCAACGTTCCCTGCTTCAAAGGCTTACAAAAGCCGATGACCCGAGACGTTTTTCTTTCCAATGTTTCATTTGAGGAATCAAGTTCACAGACTGTTTATGCGATTCTGGAGCCAATGTCAATATCATGTCTAAGACATTTGCCAAAAATTTGGGGATAAAGACCTTAAGGACGTCGACGGTTAAGGTGATCTTTGGAGATTCATCTCAAAATGATACCTCTAGTCGGGAACAAGATTGTTCTAGTCGGGAACAAGATTGTTCTAGCAGATTTCCATGTTCTGTAAATGGATCAAGACAAAAAAGGCCACTTATATTCGACCGACCGTTTCTAGCTACAGTATGAGCAGTAATCGATCATGCAAACCGGCATGCTTTCTTCCTGAACGTGGACCGCAATAAGTTTTATCCTACTGTCCCAGATGATGTTTTGAACAAAGGAAAATGGACAAAGGAGAAAGACAAGGAGAAGTCAAGGCCTTTTGCAAAAATCAAGATCATCATCCCTCTAGATTCAACAGAGTCTAGTGAGGAACAGATCCAAGAACTGATCGAGAACACAAAAAAGGTCCTAAAAAACGTTAAAATCCGAAAGAAGAGTAAAGGAAAGAAGTTGGTGTTACAAGGAGAAGAAGCCAGATCTCCAACACTCGAGAATGATAAAGGCACATCAAGAGAAGTGCCATGTCCTCCTACCTGATCTTTTAAGCCGAACTCGAGCTAAACGACTTTAAACAAAAGCGCTTAATGGGAGGCAACCCATTTAGGTACACTTTTGTTTAGTTTTCTTTTCCTTTTTGCAGTTTATGTTTTTTATTTCTTTTAAGTTTCAGTTACTCTTATAAAACAAAAACACAAAAAAATTCAGAAAAATAGAAAATCCCAAAAAGAAGTATAGGTTTTTAGCTGCTCGGCCCGGCAGAAACCTGGATAAGGATGCAGGCCGCATGAAAATCGGAAGCGGCCGCAACCAACCGACCCGCGACCAACGTAGGATTGACCACGGGACCGTGAGTGTGACCGCGGCCGGACCTTGATTCACCGCGGTCGCACGTCTCCTGACCGCGACCATTGGTCTTTCAGATGGGACCTCCGATTCCTGGTGCTTTTCAGAGATTCCTGGTGATTCCCAACAATTCTCGAAACATTCTCGGGACAGCTCATTCCCATTTTTCTGTAAGTTTTTAATTCCTGGTTACGTAACAAACAAGTAAGGTAAGTTCCCATAAGCTTTTGAATTCCCAAAAATTTCCGATTTTTGCAACAAAAACGCTTTTTAAAGAGAGGAAATGCACTTTTTGGATCAAATCTCCTTTTTCTTTTCTCTTCCAAAAGACTTGGAGATTTAGGAGATAGAAGATCTTTTGCAATTCTTAAGATTTTTAAGAGATTCTTGGACCAAAACTCACTCTTTTTCAAAGCTGATTTCAAATCTATCATCAAATCTCTCTTTCCAGCAAAGGTATGAAGCTCAAACTCGTCATTTCTAATTGATTTTAGAATTTAGGGTTTTCTTAAAAGGCTCAAATCTAGGTTTATTAGTAGTGGAAATAGCTTAAGAATAATAGATTTGCCTTCTAGGTTGTCTGGAAATCGATTTTAACACCTGGTTCAAGAGGAATTTAGAATTTTTAAATTTGGATTCTAAATGCTTTTTAGAAATCGAATTTGGACTAGTAAAGTTGATGAATTTGATCAAATCTTGTGTGGTTAGTGATTAATATTAGGTAACCTATAGATTTGGCATAGAAATTGCTCAATTAAACCAATTTTTAGGATATTTATATGTCAAGAACATCACAAATCCGAATATGGTCATGAACTACTCGATTTTTTTGAATTGATATCAATTATGCTTGCTTGCTGTTTTAACTAATCGCTTGATACTCTGATTTGTATCCCTGATCGTTAATGTGTTAAACTCAGCATCCATATTCACTCTTTTTCTGTGAATCACCTTGTCTTGTAGAAACATGGAATGAACCGAGTCTCGAAGAAGCCGTCACACTGGTGACAGCTCCGAGGCAATACCGATGATAGTACTCTTGGAGAGTAGATGCTGAGCTGAGCTAGACAGAGAACAAGAGGTTGAGTGATGAGGCTGCTACAACATTCACGAGAAGCCCATGCGATTCCTGAGCCATCCAAGATCAGATACATTGGGAAGGAGATTAACCCAAGAGTCGACTATGCAAGGCGGTTCAAGAAGCTTAACATCAAACTAACGGCCTGCATTCATTATCATATACTCGAGATGCTTGGGATTAGAGAAGATGTCATCTAGTACATCGATGCACTTAGGTTGAGACCCTACATGGAGCTGAATCTTCGAACTTATGCGGAGCTAGTTCGCGAATTCTTAGCAACCGTTACCCTTCACCACACAAAGAGGAGGAGCCCTAGAGCATCTGACGGTGTTTTATCATTCTTTATCCGCAGACAGTCCTATACACTCACCATTTCTGCACTTTGTGAAACTCTTACACTTCTATACACTGATCATATTCATCTCGAAGAAGAGCCATATTTTGACTTATGGAGAGAGATGGTTCATGGCGTCTATGATAGCGGGAGATCCAAGTCAGCCCTTCTTACTCATCCTGCGGTGAGAGTGGTGCACAAACTCTTGGCACACACAATTTTCTATAGAGGCAACACGGGATGTGTCCTGAAGACCGAGCTAATTACGCTTCAGACACCATTTATGGACAACCCTTGACTTGCCTGCTTGCCTAGATCATCACACAGAACATGGTGAAGGTGAAGCATGATTTACATGGATGTGAGGATGCAACTACTGCTTTTGGGAGCGCCATAAAAGCCATACTACAGGCTGTAGGATTTGATTTCTCATCTGATGATCCACTTCCCGACGTCTGGTATGACCTACTCTATCTCTCTCGCGATCACACTATCTCTCGTGCCATTTTTGATCCAGACAGGTTGGTTACAAGTATTGCACTGGCACCGAGTAGCACCGAGTTTGTTTACCTTCAGCATCAGTCCCAAGACTGTGTAACAAAGCACGCCCACAATGGACTCCGGGACCTGATGAGTTTCTACCTTCTGTACCTTGCCTGCCACTCACTATTGGGCAATACATAGTGGCTAAGGCCAAGCAGGACGCATCTGCAGCACGTTCTCGCTATCAGCCATCAGTTTCCACTTACCATACTTCATCATCTACATCATCACGCACACAGTCTGACATGGAGCGCAGAATCAAGACATGGACGACGTTTTGAGCGCGTCATCACCATCCTGCAGGAGCAACACCAGTTCGAGGCAGATAGATCAGAGGAAGATTAATCGATCAGCACTTCATCGTCATTTCACCACCATTACAGTTCTATCATCATTTTCTTTTCTTTTATTTTTAGACTATCTTGCTCTTATTTACCATCTTCTAACCAACTTTTTCACACTAGGGACAGTGCGATTTAATTCAGGGGGAGGATGTCTATCTGTACTAATCATTTTCTTGCTTTGTTTTTCAATTTCAAGTACTTTTTAAATTTTTAGTATGTAACCTATGTGAATTTTAGTATTTTTCAGGAATATTTGACACCAAACTATGATGATTTAGACCTGCACGCTTCTACACTACGCATGATAGCTCATTTCTGGTTAGCACTAGACTAGGCGGTAGCTAAAGTACTTGCACTATGAACTCCCACCAGATGACTTCTATTCATGGAGACTCTTTCTGATAGGATATACTAGCTCATTTTATTTGACCTTAATATTGATATCTAATTTTCTCATCATTGAGTATAAGCAGGCATCAAGATATACATCTTTTTCCTCATTTTTACCACTCTTTGTCGTCCTAGATGACCAGTTCATTTTTAGCTAGTACCATACCCTAAACCGAAATTTATTTTCAAACCTCATGCATTCAAGAGAAAGAGGAACGATGCAGTTTTCAGTCACTCAAGAGAAATACTGAAAGGAATTGGGAAGGAAGGGTATCAGAAACCTTATCAAGCTTTATATTGCCTCAGAGAACTCAATTTTATTGGTAATTTCGTGCTCTCTATGACTCTAT